TTGTTTATATATCATTAAAACATTTTAATACAATTATAAGTAAATTTATATAAAGAAACCATTCTACAATCGACTCCCGTCAGAGTGACCTTCTGGTGACTAACATTTTTGGTTCACCATATCTGATGTCAGAATTTCTCAACAATTAATGCTTTTCTTAATATAGAGATAGAGCAAAATACATTAACAGCACAAACTCAAAAGTTCAATATCTTTATTTTGCCTTAAAAATATTTTTGTTTTGTTTTATTCGTACAGTTTTCATTAGTTATATCTCTAGTTCTTTCTCCAAAGTTCCATACTTGATTCTGCATTATCCACTGTCTCTTAATATCTATTGGTAAAGATGGCTCAGAGCGAAGTCGCTCACCTTTCCTCAAGGAGGTCCGGTTTCGGTTCCCGTCGATTCCCGGACAATCTCGTGTGAAATTTGTTTCGACAAAACGCGTTTGGCTGCTTCACAAGGGCTAGTCCGACCCCCGTGAAGTGTCCTAAACCTGTGTCCGCTTTCCTAATTCTGGCTGTTAGGTAGTGACGCAGGAGCGCGTGAGGCGATACGCGGAGATGCTACCTGGTGGTCCTCTGGGCGAGCTGGAGCTGCGGCGGGACTGGACGGCAGGCCAAAATATATTAATGGTGGATTACTCCAAATAAAATGTTAACGGGGGATTACTCCATAAAAAAAGCAAGCGCTCAACACCCTCCTAGGGGTTTGGAGACTTGTTACGTCAATACAAGCGCAACAGTTTTTGGAGAGAAAAAAAAGAAGGAAAAAATGCAGTCACCCTCAGTGCCACTGTTGGAACACTTTCCCATTCTCCGAAAGACCTTTTACTCGCCTAATAACATACGAGGTCCTTTCGGTAGCGTCATGGCGCACGCGGCTAATGAAACTGATTGCTTTTACGCGCGGCACTGCGGATGTCACTAGGCTGAGGGGCTGTGTTAGTCTCACACTTCCCTTCGCCTTCGTAAAACACTACGCGCTTTGTCCCGAGGAATCGCAAGTAACATCAAACTTGAAACTGAAAAAAGCAGACGTGCGTCGCCACTGCCAGTTGTAGCTCACGCACAACATGGCCTTTTTTCTGAAGTGAAACTGAGTGACACATGCTCATCAGTAAACTTCCTTTTGTACCTCAGGGGAGACTTCTTCGATTTTGACCTTTGACCTTTGACCTTTGACCGACGAAATTTTTTCGAAGCTGCCTAATGTTGGAATTCTGGCACTGAGGCGATGTATTTTTTCCAGGAGGAAATTAATTCCCAGGGTGTTGTATTTCCTTCGTTCACTATAGCCGAAATTCAGAGTTAACTGTAACCGAATTCTCTTGTGCTTATTTGTAATGTAACTGAAGCGGGACCAATGACTTTAAGGTCATAATAAGATATAACCGAGGGTTCACTATGATCGAGGGTTCACTATGACCCGCGTCGACTGTATCAAGCACAGCACCGGCACCGTTCCCCTGCTTTCTTCATGTTAGACTGCTTCATGAAGAATTTGAACATTTGCGAAAGTTCGGGGATAAACCCTTTTTGGAGTGGATTGAACTTGACGGATCGAATGCGTTTGTCCGTAATACCCTAAAAGATGCTGCACAACAGAGAACAAATCGTGATGTGGAGATCGTGACAAACTTATTATCCTTACTCTTTTGGGATGAGGATGATGCGATTAAGTTTATACCGAGGAAGCAAAAAGCCACTGTCTCGAATTTGGGTGTACAGTTGGGAAAATATTTCAATTTATATATATATATATATATATATATATATATATATATATATATATATATATATATATATATATAATTTCTTTTAAACACGTACAAAATAAAAAATAAATTATCCTTTCTGGAATCTCAGGGATGTGGATTCTCTATAGTGTCAGGATTCTCACGCTAATTCAAATCAAACTATTAAGCCTTTCAAACAAAATATATCTTTTTAGCCTTTCTGTCTCGTTTACAAATACATAATACACACATAACATTTCAACGCTATCTTTCTGGAAGAAACAACAACTCCTTACAAGCTAACATTCACTGTACATGTTTTTCACTGATTAAGCTTTCTGCTGACCTTTGCAGTTATAGCATAAAAATAATACATTACTTGGATTTCAATTATACATTACGAAAGAGAAAGATTGATTCAACCTTTTAGTTAACTTTTGAATAGTCCTTCCTAGTATGATTATTACATTACACGATCCTACTCGAGTTTCTAATAATAATAGAATGCTCACTGGATCTTCCTTACTTGAATTCGCCTGCCGGTTGACGAGACGTCGGTTTCCCCAGGGTTTTGTCGCCGTTCTTGTGTCGCCCCGTGACCATCAAACCGCCTCGCCTCCTGTCGTCGGTGCCCCAAATCCGTGACATATCCTTGACATTTTCCTCTGTCAAATTTCTTGTTACCATCGCCGACAAACACCTGTTTCCATGGGGTTGATGGTCTGCCCCGTCGTCTCCTGTACGGAGGTATCCATTTATATACTTGTTTGGGTCACTCCAATTCTGGCATTCTCAGCAGATGTCTGTACCACTGAAGCTGTTTTCGTTCTACAGTATCTATTATATCCTTTTGAATTTCCATTTTTTATTTTATTTCTTCATTGCGTATGCGGTGTAAACGAGGTATTCTGCAACTTCGTCTCAAAAAGTCCATTTGAATCGTCAATCTCTTTGTGTTTTTTGGGGTCCCATATGTGACAATACTTTCTATTAAGGTACTGTATGTATTTTTCTTTGTTTTCGTTGATAACTGGGAGTTCCACAGAATTGGATTTAGCATATTGACTCGTTTCCCTTGATTTATCTTATTTATATCATTATTACTTGTGCCCTCTTTTGAAACTGTGAAGCCCAAATATTTCAAATTATCACATAATTGTATTTTATCATTTCCAATGTGCAGATCATTTCCATATTTTCCTGTTACCATATACATCATTTTGGACACATTTATTTGCAATCCCCATGTATCAAATTCCTGTTTAACTTTTCTAAACATATAGTTAATATCCATCTCATCCTCTGCCATGATGACTAGATCTGCGAAAAGAACATCCAGTGTTGATTCTTCAATTTGCATTCCCATTACACTGCATTTCCTCCTCCATTATTGCAAAGCTTCGGACGAATGAACATGTTAAAAAGAATTGGGGACATACAGCACTTCTGTCTCAGCACCTCTGTATTTCTTTTATCAGTCACGTAATGTGCAAAGGGGAAATGAAATCGACCCAAAGTGTCCTTGTAATGGAGTGTCTAGTCCACTAATCATACAAAGCAACCCCCTTTTGCTATAACCATACAAAAAACTCTTCTTAATTGTAATCATATACGAAGAAAAGGAATAAATACAAAGGAAGAACAAATGCGTGTGTTACACTAATAGGTATAATGCACGTGCTCTCTACTTCCATTACAAAAGTGAAAAAAACTGAAAGTAAGAACAAATACATGTTACACTAATAGGTATAATGCACGTGCTCTCTACTTTCATTACATTACATTAAATTTTCATCACACACACTTCCATCTACATATTTGTTATATTTAAACAAGTTAATTTACATCTTCTGGTTTATCTGTGAAAAATTTTGTAGTCCTCCGTAGTTTAGCGTATTCTGTTGTTACCTTGAGACCCTATACGCGCGTCTTTCAAACCTACTTCCCCCCTCTATGATAAGAAGAATGTGCCACGTTTTTCGCTTTACGTGTGAAAAACAGGTGGTCACAGTGTGTGTGTGCCTGTGTGGGTAGGGGCGTGGGCGGGCGTGTGTGTGCGCGTGTTAACCAATGACAGCGCCTAAATCATTCAGCTGATTTGTGCAAAATTGTTATTCCCCGATCAATCTAAAGAAACTCCAGGTCCTGCGAGCTTCAAAAGGATATTTTCATTTTGGAGGCTACTTTACATGAAGCCTCAACTATTCCATACTTTTTTTAAATTTGTTTTATTTTTTATGGAACTCTGTTCTTGGATAGCATAAAGAGTGCTTAAAAGAATGGCGCAGATCTTGTTTTTGTTAAATTCTGAATTCCCCCCCCCCCTGAAAATTATTAAAGCTCAAAATGACTGTAGTTTTCATGTAATTGTATGTGAAATATTGGCAATGTTTTTGACAATTATTTTCTCAAATAGAACTCTCAACATTTTTCTTCAAATTTTCCCTCTAATATGTAGCAAAGGACGTAGCAAAGAAAGTAGTGCTGGTGCCATTCTTGACCAACTTTCTGTATAGTACTGTACAATATTGATGATAGATTTTCTTTGTTCTAAAATATTAGATCTTTAAACAAGGTCTTGAAGGGAATTCAATTTTTAAAAATTCTTAAAAATCACTCCAAATTTTTTTCTTAAACTTTTTTTGTGGATAGAGCAAAAAGCATATTTAAAAAATGCTACAGATTTCAATTTTCTGATCTTTGAACTTTCGCAAATTTCAAAAGTTAAAAATAATACAAGAAAATATGTGCTGTTGTAACACCTAATTTTTTTCCATAAGGCATTTGCAAATTGGCATTGACTTCCGGACAATTTGAAACCATTTGAAATGTTGAATGGAGATCTGAACCTAGTGCGGTTGGACAGGTGAATTCTTTTGCACAATGATGCAAGAACTGGTGATATACAGCTGTGGACTGTGGATTTAATTGCATTGCAGTTCGCAACAATAGAATAAGAAATTCAAGAGTTACCATCACATCTTTCTTTGATTGATTTGATAGTACTTTCTATGCTTTTAAACCAATAGAAACCTCTGATGTTTAAATTCGTAAATTTGCAATATCGTAATAGGGGATTTAAAAAAAAAAAAAATCCAGTGTTCTTCATAAATATTTGTTGATATTAATTGGAGTCTCACTCTTTACATTTAATTGCTTTTTGTTTTCTTTTTATTTATTGCAAAATATTTCATGCCTTATGTTATATTTACCTTTTCCCCTCAAATTTCAATTCATTTGCAATTTTCTTCTGTTTTGCAGGAGGATACCATCCTGTCAGAATTGGTGACCTGTTCCATAACCGTTATCATGTTGTACGAAAGCTTGGTTGGGGTCATTTCTCAACTGTTTGGCTCTGTTGGGACTTACAGTAAGTTTTTAAATGCATTGATAATCCTGTGTTTTGATGTTTTACTTTGTGTATGTCAATAATGTACAGCTTGTTTGACTGAGAAAACTGATCACTGGGGAATTCAAATAATATTGGTCATGATTTGTTTTTTAACTACTATATGCAGTAGGATGGCTTGTGCTACAGAAGAAAATAAATTTAAAATTGTCTTTCATCTCTTGCACTAGCCACAGGTTTCTTGAGTTTTTCAGTCATGTGACTTGCAATAAGCAATTGTAAGAAGCTGAGTATTTGGATATTAAGGCAGCATCTTATAACATTTATGTAATAACGTGAATGTGTTAATAGGTAGACAAAAATTAAGGGTAGTTCCTTATGAGATTTAACTTGTGAACTGGACTTTAAAACCATTCATTGTGAGTTAGAACAAAATTATTTGATGTAATAAAAGTGTTTGAAGAAATGATAAAGGGCTGTCCTAAAACACTAATTCATCTTCTTTTGAATTGTAAGGAAATTTTTAACCCTTCGAATTGATCTAGTAGTGATTTTTTGTGTGTACAAGTGTTTTGATTTTTGTGTTCTCTTGTTAATGGGGAAAGGACAGGACTATATACATGTGTAGCCTAAAAAAAGCATGGGAGGGGAGTCCACTGCATATATTGGTCCCCTTTTCCTTTAACCTTCTTTTTTATTTACATACGACATATTTTGTATGACTTGGCATATTTTTCTATTGTAAATAAATGAAACATACTGCAAGGAGAATTGAATTATAAATTTAAACATACAGCTAATAAACATAATTGATTTTATTTAGAACCATTTATAGGATTGCCAGATATTTGGGAAAGAAGCTTTCCAAACTTATCAGTTCCCTACAGCATCAGCTTAAAAAGATCCAGAAGCAACTTTCATAATTATGATTTTGAGTATTGAAAATTAAAAACAGTGTACATCCTCCAAAATATGCAAATTCAATACTTAGAAGGTGTTATATTACTAAAATAACCATGAATTTGGCATAGAAAATTGTAAAGCTTGTGACGCTGATAAAAATCTCTCAAGAGTCTGCCAGTTAGGAAATTAGTACTCAGGCTTTCCAAGGATTGTACAGGATGCGCCAGAGAAACTTACTTATTTGAAAGGTCTATAAAAACAAAAGTACTTCAGTTATTATTTTAATTTTTTTTTTATTTGAGAATACAATATCCCAATTTTTTTTCATGCAGTCTTGAAAATGACATCGGATAAATGGCGACCTCCATTGCGCATACACTGATGAAGTCGATTTTTGAAATTCCTATCCACTCTTTGCAGCATATCAATCGGTATGTTCGCAATGGCGTCGCGAATGTTGTTCTTGAGGTGTGCTATGGTCCGTGGTCGATCGACATAAACCAGGGATTTCAAATAACCCCATAAAAAGAAATCGCATGGAGTCAAATCTGGAGAGCGTGCCGGCCATTGGAGATCGCCTCTGAGAGAGATGAGGCGGTCGGGGAAATGTTGTCGCAACAAATTCATTGTCTCTCGTGCTGTATGTGCTGTGGCTCCATCTTGCTGAAACCACACGTTCCTAACGTTCATTTCTTCGAGTCTTGGAAGAAAAAATTCCTCGATCATGTTCCTGTAACGAGCTCCATTCACGGTAACTGCGCGTTCGTTTTCTTCAAAAAGATAAGGACCAGTTATTCCCATTACTGACATCGCACACCAGACAGTAACTCGCTCACAATTAAGTGGCTTCTGGTGAAGCTCACGCGGATTTACACCACACCAATAACGCATGTTTTGCTTGTTGACGCAGCCGGAAATGTGGAAGTGAGCCTCGTCACTGAAAAAACGACCGCGTCTTCAGGCAGGTTGTCAATCAGCATTTCACATGCATTTTGACGGGCAACAAAATCGCGTTCAGTTAATTCTTGCACAACAGCCAGTTTGTAGGGATGAAATTGAAGGTCTTCATGCAGAATTCGTCGAACAGTGGTGTCAGAAATTCCCATAGCAGCTGCGTGTTTGCGAGCCGAACGTCGGGGAGAACGCACAACTGACTGCCTCACTCTTTCGATATTTTCCGGGGTTCTGATAGTCCGTTGAAGTCCATTTCTGGGTTTAGCGACACTTCCACACTCCCGAAAAGAGTTAACCACGACAGAATCGAATTACGGTCAGGAACGAGTCTGTGAGGAGGAATTTCAAAGCGAGCGCGGAAGGCACGTTGCGTAGCAACAAGTGAGCGACCGTTAGAAAAAAAGCTCTCGACTGGGAAGGCCCGCTGCTCTCTAGTCCACAGCGTGATGGCAACTGACTGGAAGGAGAAAAAAAACTTGGGAACTTCCCCCTCCAGATACGCCCCAACTCACCGCGCGGGAATTTTTTCAAATAAGTAAGTTTATCTGGCGCACCTGTACATTCATGTCCAGAGAACTGATTCTTAATGTGTGACAGCAAATATTACTTCGATCAGCTTCTGCACCATTCAAAATCCTCATTAAAATTCAAACTAAATTATATGCCTATTTCTGGATATGTACTCGTGTAGCAGCATGTAACTAATGACCTCATGCAGAGTATGGCAGCAGAAATAATGTCAAATGTTCATTTCAAGTTTGAACTTTGGTAGTGTGGATACTTCATCTCCCTTCAAATGGTTCTCACGTCTTTCGACTACATAAGGGCCTGACAAGGACCCTGACTCCAAGAAGGTATTGAAGGGACAATGAGACAGGCTGTGCAATGGATCAGAATAAATTTTCTTGTTAAATGGGAGCCCTTCCAAATGTATATTGAATGTGAGACATAATATTAAAAAGTTTTAACATAACTTCTTTCTAATGTATTGATATTTTGTGAATACCACTATCCTTAAGGATACTTTTAGTTTCTTCTTAGTAACGTTTATGCTTGTGGTTTATTTACTCTTTTCTTAATTCCTTTTTCAGTACTCATTTCTTCATGTTTGTTATGTTGGCTTTTGAGTTGTTTGGTCTTCATTACTTTCATTCTTTCTTTCTTTCTTCCTTCCTTCCTTCCTTTTTTCTGTTTTGTCCTTTGTTTTTTTCCTTTTTCTTAATTTTTTCCCTTTTTTCCTTTCTTCTCTCTTTTTCCTTGTTCTTTCCTTTTCTTCTTGTTCTTTTCTCGTTCTTTTCTTTCTTTCGTTGCTTCTTTTTGTCTGTGTTTTTACACTGTCTCATGACTGTGACTAATTTTGATATATTTGTTCCAGGGGAAAGCGTTTTGTTGCATTGAAAGTTGTCAAAAGTGCTGCCCATTATACTGAGACTGCTTTAGATGAAATTAAATTGCTCAAATGTGTATGTATTTGTAGACTATATTACATTAATATTGCCTTTTTTGCTCCTTTATTATGATTATTGTTATTATTATTATTGTTATTACTGTTATGATTATTAATATTAATATTGAGTCATACTACATCAAATTGACTAGGTTTCCAAACTGAGTATTTTATATTTTCTTGAAAATTCATCACCTGAAAATATCAAATTTTATGTCTGTTAATTTTTAACTGTCACCATTTTGAGACTTTCTGGAGACACATTTGCTCAAAAGGCACTGACTATACAAGTATAAAATTGTTTAGCATTTCTATTCAACAAACAAACAAAAGTCCATTTGATATAGTGTCAATTTGATATGGATAATTTTAATGCTAATGTTTATTGTGAATTCTAATTCTTCGAAATATTTGAAAATCAAATAATGTCACCATTTTAATTTTTAGAATAGTTGTATTGAACAGTATTATTGGAATATATTAAGTGAAGGGTTCTTTAGTGTTTAATGTACTCTGAAAACTACAGTAAATGTCCACATTCCAGGTTCGGGAAGCTGATGTTAATGACCACAAGCGAGACAAAACTGTTCAGTTGTTGGATGATTTTAAGATCAGTGGTGTCCATGGAACACATGTGTGTATGGTATTTGAAGTGTTAGGGCATAATCTTCTTAAACTCATTATTCGCAGTAACTATCAAGGAATTCCTATTCAGAATGTTAAGTCCATTATACGTCAGGTATGTTATTGTGTTTAATTGCAATACAATAATAACTTTGTGATAAATGCTCTAACTTGATGTGGTGTTGTTTATTTCCAGGTTTTGGAAGGCTTAGACTATTTACATACAAAGTGTAACATTATACACACTGACATAAAACCAGAAAACATTTTATTGTGTGTTGAAGAAAGTTACATAAGAAAATTAGCAGCTGAAGCTACTCAGTGGCATAAGATGGGACTTAAATTGCCTGGATCACTAGGTATGAATTCATTGTACACTTTCTTGGAACAGTGCCTCAGAGCATAAACTGATGTTACAGAAAAGCGTCTGACAAGGAGGTCGTAGGGTTAGAGTCCTGATGGTGGCAGGATTTTTGATACTAGCGAGAGAAGTTGAATTGAGTCGCTGTCAGGAGGAGAATTCTAGTGGCCGATTGCTCTGATTGATAGTTTTCCGTGGTTTCTCTGATCAACAATAGGCAAATTCTGGAGCAGTACCCTAACGAGTCGGCCACAGGCGGTGTGCGATCTTTCCATTCTCTTCCTTGACCTATTCTCCCCCTTACTGATACCCACTTACTCACATGCACTGCACTACCAAACTCGATGGAAGACTGGTTGGGAGCTTAGAACTTGTCCCGGCTGTGTCACGCTGTTGGGAGATACCTGGTTAGAGAAAATTCCTGCATCCTGATGTAGGTCAGCGCCAAATATTGCCATCCAATGGGGGAAAATCACTGCCATTTCCTCCGATACTTATGGAACTTCTGACCTTAGCAGTTGATGCACCTGGAATTCTAATCAATCAATAATTTTCATTTGAATCAATCAATAATTTTTTCTCTGATCTCAATTAATTTTGTAATATCTTTTTGGTGCAGATTTTAGTATTCTGCAAATCTTCTTTATTTACACTTTTGTTAATTTAGGTTTTAAAAAGTTCATAATTTTTGGAACAATGAGATATGGAGAGTTTGAATGATAGAAGTAGACATTTTTTTAGACATCTTTTTAGTTATTACACATTAGAAATATAACCTGCATGCGTTTTCTTGAGCTCCAGAATTTGTATTCCACCCTTTTACTAGCTGAACAGTGGATAAAAGTACCAACAGAGAGAAGTTAGCAACATTTGGAAACTGTACATTTTTACTCCTGTGTAGTCGAAAACTTATGTCCATTGATAAACTACAATTTGTTTTTATTGTATTGTAAAATAGCGAGCTGCACCCTTGGCTCTAATCCTATCACAACGAGCAAAAGGAGAGCTCAACAAATCGTGTGCATAGTGATACTACATTGATGACCAGAAGCAAAACAAAGGCCATCTTAGCTTTTGTTCAATGGATCAGAGAAATGGGTGAAAAGCCTCGTGGACATTCCATGTGTCAGGTGGTGCCTAAAGTAATACTTATCTTTCTCTTGCAGTGAGCACTGCGCCCAAAGACTGCCCCACCACTGACTCGGCCCCCAAGCTGTCAAAGAGTAAGAAGAAGAAGCTGAAGAAGAAGGCGAAGCGGCAGGCGGAGCTGTTGGAGCGGCAGATTCAGCAGCTGGGGGAGCTGGACGAGAAGCAGTCTGGCCAGGGTGCTGGCCCCATACCTGCAGATGCAGATGTTGACCCCGAGGCAGATGCTGAAAGCGATGGGGCAGGCGAGGGGGAGGCGGAGGTAGAGGAGATGGAAGCCGAACCAGAGGCAGAGCCAGAGGCCGTGGACCCAGTGGGTGCAACCGTAAACGAAATAGCTGACGACATACCAGACATTAGCGAACACCTCACCAACATGGCATGTAAACTGTGTATCAAACCCCCTGTTGAGGGTGAGGTGCTTGAAGATTCTGAAGCGACTAGTGGAAAGTTGAAAATGAAAGCGAGTATGTATATTGGTGCCTGCAATGTACTTTTATCAGTGTTATCTCAATGTTCCCTCTACTGATTTCTAAGTGCTGTTCTTTAAGTTATGCAGGATGCCTTGGACACTGGTTTGTATGCCAGTGTATAATTTCATTTGTGTAAAATTGCAATTTACACTGCATTCTCACCAAAATGCAGTGATGGAATTTGCAACAAAATTTAAATATTCTTCAATGATACATTTTTCGGTGCATTTTGTGTGCTCTCAATTTATTTCATGTATTTAAATATGTGATTATGATGACAAAGTGAGGTAATGTAGCAGTAGAAATTGTTAAAAAAGTTATTGAAGGTGATTTAAGAAAATGTTGGAGGAAGGTTTGTCTTGTAAGCTACATATTCAGTGTTGGAAAGCATTCACATGTCGAGCAATACTATGATTTAACATTTTCTGTTGGCACCTGGAAGTACTAGTGTGTTCAAATATCTTATTCATGGTTAATATGAGTGGAATTGATTGTGTTAAATTGTTTGTTGTCGTCAACGTTGCTGACCTGGCTTTTTGAAATTCACTAAGTTTTCCACCTTACCTGTGCAGAGAAATGTGTTGACTTCTTGCTCTGTTTTATAGAACATGGAGATGATAACGTGCACTGTTTCTCATGAGTAAATCATAAGCATTTCTTCTTTCAAAACCTTAATTGTTGATTTCTGTGGATGGATTAATTTTGTGCAAATTCTTGTTAACTTGTGTTGCTCAGCTTTGATGGTGGTTTAGTATATTGATTGTAGTGATAATAATTCAAAATCATTACGCTCTTTTTCCTAACTTCTGAGATATTAGTTACTTTGGTTCTGTTTATTGTATCTTTTAATTTAAGGCTTGGTTTGTTGTTTCACTGATGAGGGATGTATTTGGGAAAGATAATGTGGTCAGGGTCATTCAGTGATCCAGTCCAGTTTTCCCATTCATCCAGTTATCATTACCATGTGCATATCTTGTTATTTTAATTCAACTTTTTTTGAATTTATACTAACACCTCAGTTCAGTCCAAGGTTATACCTTTTCTTTTCATTTAACCTGTTACAGACATTTTATCTTAATTACTCGTCCCAAATTATGCAAAAATTCTAGCCACAATGAGCTATCGTTTATCCAGTTTCTGTAGCTCTGTTTGTGAATCCAGATCTACAAATTTATTGTTTAGATAAATTATTGCAAATGTGTCAATACTTCAATTGGATATTTTGAAGAAAGTCCCCTAAAAGGCCTTCACAAATTTCTATAAGTCAATTTCCATAAGCAATTTTTTTAATTTGACCCTTTAAATTCTCTGCTTTTTATCTCTTGTACATCTTCCATATGAAAGCCAGGAATACAAATTTCTTAAACCTTTATTTAAATTTAAGTTGAAGCAATACTTTATCAAAAGTGGCTCCAAAAGTTATCTGATAATATTTCAGTCTTCAATAATCATTCTTCAAACTTTTGTTGTATTTGCTTTAAATATTTTTGTCTAAAAAATTGAAAAACCTGTCGTATTTACCTGAATATAAGAGGAGGTTTTCTTCCTTAATTCCTAATTAAAAAAATACAGGGTTATCTTATATTCGCGGATTAAGTTGGTTAGGAGTTATACTTTTACATAGTCTTTCAATGTCTCAAAACTCATAAATGTTTAGGCAACAATAAGCTGCAAAGACTATAAAAATATCACGTGAATGTATAATATATGATAATTATATTCGCGGTTGTATTCTTGGCATTCACAGTGAATTTGCCATGCGATTCAGATCAAGATTTTTGAATGGGCTTATTAAGAGAGAATATCAAACAAATGGCGTTGAATCGAGTAAAACATTATGTGAAAATGAATACAAATTGTTGGTGGTATTTTGTTACATGATGTGCTTTATGGGATTGACGAGGCTTCACGGACCCTTGGTTTGACGCCTGGCGAGTGCAAATCTGTGTTTTGCAAGAGATAGAAAGTGAAAAAATCTACACTGATGAAAGTATGTATGCATTCTAAATCCAGTCGCAGAATAGGATGATACATATTTTCTAAGCAAAAACTTCGTAAACTTGGATACTAGCTGCTATTTTATATCTATTCTGTTAAAGAATGCAAGACAGGGAGAAAATCTGGTGTAACTGGAGGGAATGAAACGCCCAAAACTTTCATAGGGGCCTAAAAAGTCGTTGGACGTCGCAGTATGGGAGGACAACCAAAAAGAAACTATTATACATGCAAAGATGAAGAGGGTAGTGACAAAAACCATAATTATAATTTTAAGGGACGAGAAAGTAGTGTTAACTCAGGCATAAGTTATAACTAGAGGGCGGATTTTGATGATCTAGAACATCGCCAAAAGTGATCAATAAAATGCTCTTAAAATGTTTTTAAAATGTCTTAAAAGCAAAGCGAAATGACATAAAAAAATTTGATCAAAACCTGTTCAGGTGAACAATTCAAGCAGCTTGCTGATGTAATCAATGATTCTTTGGTTGTTGCAAGTGAATTCAACATGCAAACTTTTGTTTTGTACTATTCTTTACTAGGAAATTTTTCTTTAGTTACTGCCAAATCAGCCAAGTAGACAATGACGCTGATAAATGTCACACGAAGCTTAGATTACATACTCATGTCGACGGATATCACAATTCCTGAGTGAAGAAATTGAATGGGCTACTCAACAATTCTCTGGAGAACATTTGTTCCATCTTGTAATTATTATTTGAAACAAATTCTATTAATATGATAATAAAATTGATTAAACTAGCAAAAAAATACTGTAAAAATGATAGGGAAAAGTAAGACTTTTTAGTCGAAATAGATTAAAATACAAAAAATATTCATAACAGTGGGTCTTTTAGTTTGTCATAACATAAAATAGTCTTCACTAAAAGGCATTGTTCTAAAGTGAAAAGAAAAAATATGCCATTTCATTAAAATCCGACATTTATAACATTCTTATCCTCAAGACAAGTTTCTAGTCAGTTAGACAATTTGCAGTTTTATTTTGACTGAATAGTAAGAATTAGTTAAAAATTTAAAATCCCAGGAAGCCTCTTCAAAATTAGGGGGTTGTCTTATATTCAGAATCTACTATATTCAGGTAAATACAGTAACAATTTTTTATTGCTTTTTTCACTCTAATTAAGTCCTATGCATGATAGTAGTAATTTATTGAACAAAACCCATATTATTTGGAATTAGTGTTGTTTATATTCTGAGGTGAGGTAAAAATGTATCAAATTTTGTACGTTCAAAAATATTTGTGATATGTTTCTCTCTTTATTTTTCCTATTGTTCTCAGTGCGTGTAGTTTAGTCTATAGATGATGGATCATGTGATTGATGTGATGCTGAGTGGCTGAGTCCAACCATCCTTTGATATGTAGTGTGTTCTTGACTTAACAAAATTCTTGACGGGGTGCCTCACTTGACAGTATTTTAATTTGAAGAATCTAGAAACATGAGAAGAATGAGAATTTAAAGCTTTGAGAATACCCCCTCAAATTAACCAGTGTTCAGGTTGTGCATCTCAAAGAGAATCAGTGTTGTCTTGCAGAGAGTTGTATCCTTCATTTTCTTTAGTGCAAGTAGTTCTTTGAGTTTGTGTTCCAAGTTTGTGCATTTATGACCAGGGATGATTGTACTCTGCAAAAGCTTACATAAGTGGAATTATCTAATTGATTGTGTTAGTTTGCTTGGTGTTTCGTTGTCTAGCAAGCTGCCGTGGCCATTCAGCTAGCAACTACTGAAGAATCTGCAGCAACTGGTGACTAGCAAACCCCCCAAAATCTAAGAGGCAAATGTATTGTGTTGCCAAATTTATAGAGATACTAATTTTTCATTAATTTAATAAAAGACATACGTTCATGCATTTATGATGTCAAATAATGTGTATTAATAACCAATAACGTTACACAAAGTAATTTTCTTAGAAATAACTTGGCAGTAAATTACAGTTTTCAGGCATAAATTTGAAAGATATACTCCTTAAAATTTAAAAACAAAAATATCACTCTTGGAGTATCGGATTATCAAATTAGACTTGTAGAGAAATGTAAATTTCAAGACTGGTTTTATAACATTGGAATAGTGCAAATCAAACGTTTGACTCCAGTATCTGTCACTTTGCAAGTTGTAAGCAAGACATTTGAAATTTTTGTAGTAAAGCCCAACTCGATATGAAAACAACTATCTTATGATTTTGAGTAGAAAATCAGAGTTATTTTGACAATTGACGATTCATTTAATTATTTTCCAGATTATTTTGTTTCTGAATTGCCTCATCAGATTCACGCTCACAATGATCGAATTATTTAAAACTGAAGTACAATATTGTTGAAATACTTTCAATTTAAATTTAAAATATTTATGATTAAAATAATTGAGATTAGCAACAGTGTTGAATGTGTCTACCACAAGAAGTTTTGTTATGTAGTAGTTTCATTTGATCCTGTCAGTGATATACAAAATATAAGATCAAAATTTCTTGCACTTAGATTCAGATATCTAAGACTTATCTCTACTGCAAGAAAATGCTAACACAAAAATGTAAAGTCTCCAAAGAAAAGTTAACAACTGAATACAGATGCTATTTCTGGAGAACACCGATTGGGGGTGGGGAGCCAATGTTGCGGCCCCAAAATAAATTGCAGTATAAGTGAGGGAACATTTTTTTATATTTAAGAACTGATTTTAAGAACTGATACTTCATATTTTTGCCAATATATATATATATATATATATATATATATATAATATTTTTCAATTTTTGAGGTATAGCACAGCCATAATATATATTTTAAACATTTTTTGTAATTGCAAGAACTATTTCACATTTACAATGTTCCTCTGACCTGTTATCTATCGACAAATAAAAGAAGATTGAAATACGATGGGCAGGCAATAGTAAAGTTTGCACAAAGTGATCACGCATGGCAACAGTTTCAATTTGTTTTTATAAATAATTGATTAGGGTTGAAAGAAGAAACCATCATCAAGAGTTAATTACGGTTCTAATAATAAAAGTCCTAAATGATGAACCCTTATCTAAACAAAGTTATAGGAACCCATTGGTTGTTGAGATAGAGGCAGAGACGAAATAGTGATTATTATTATTATTATTATTATTATTATTATTATTATTATTAACAACAAAAATATTAATATTGTATTTACCCAAGTATACGTAGACTCTAAATATAAAATGACCCCTGTAAATATGAAGAGACCTGAGTGTTTTTTAAAATTTTTTAATTAATTCATACTATTTGGTATGAATTACCAATATTATATATATATATATAATATATATTTTCTGCCTCTGTCTTTGGATGTAGAATGCGTACTTCTAACAATGTGAATTTTCTCATTTCCAACTCTTGCAAAATGCAGATTCGCATTCGTAGAGTGTCGAACCAAGAGTGTGCATGGCCACATCGATCCACACCACTGTATAACAAAATATCTGCAACATTTTTCTGCACTGCAGCTTTTTACTACTGTTCGTTTGAGATTCTCTCTTTACCTGCCCAATCAAAAATATTGGTCTGGATCACCCCTCAAGTCCTGATGAATACTAAGAATAACTCCATGAATATTAGTAGTTGGGTATTATAAATATGCGTGATATTTATCGCCTTTTCAACTTCTTAATGTGTTAGCATGTGGGCACTCCTTAATGTGGGGCGAAGTGAGAGTGAAGCAATTTCATTCTTGATGCAGAAAGGCAGGGTTAAAATTTAAATCCTAAAGACTAGGGTTAATCTGCCTTATTAAGATGACCCTGTATTGTTTGAACATTTAGGGGGAAAACCTAGTCTTGTATTCTTGTAAATACGGTAATAACAATATCAATAATAATATCAATAATAATAATAATAATAATAATAATAATAATAATAATAATGAATAAAAATATTAATAATAATAGTAATGGTAATGATAATCATAATGCTAATGAAAGAAGGAAAATTGTTTAAATTTCTCAATTTTTTTCTAATGTATAATGTGGTAATTTAAGAATTTATAATGGAAATTTAATGAATATGTCTACATATCACTTGGTAGGCCTATGCTCAGTTTGTAGACTGCTGAATTCTAAGTGCTACTTTAATTATTGTGTGCATCTTTTTTAAGTTGTAGTTTGTGTCTTGTCTTGTCAGAATCATGAAACAAGAAAGTTAACGTCATTTCTTAAGTGAATTTTCATGATCTTTCTATCTATCAAATTGGACTTAGTTTTTCTAAGCATATGTTTCTTTTTGTAAAATAATAGTAAATAATATGTATAATAATAGTGAAATATTTATTGCATAGATTTAGAGAATCGCAAGAGCTTTGCAGAAATGGAATATGCAGAAGTTCAGCCTGCGGGTTCTCACACAATGTTGCAAATCCCAGGGTCAGATCCTCCAGCATTTTGTAATGGACACAATGGACATAATAATGCAAATGATTGGGAGCAGCAAAAGGTTCCTTTGGGGCGAAGTGAGAGTGAAGCAATTTCAGATGTGAAGGAAGTTTCCCAAGTGAAAGAAGGAGAAACAGGTTGGTACCTTGAAATTATATTTTCATGAACTACAGGTGTTAACTAAAGTTATTAATGCATGATGCCACTGAGGCGTGGGGCAACCTGCGCTGACAGCCCAGAACTTGTATGTTACTCCAGTCCGCACGCTCCAGACCGCTCCCACGGAACGACCTGTCCGTCAGCCTCTGAGACAACTTCCTGCTAATGAAACTTGTATTATAGACTCAGTGTAGCTGAGGAGATCAGGGCTACCACACCTTGCGAGCTCGCAGGGCGGTAGAGCAAAGTCTGCTCCAGGGTCGCCTCTGGCAGCAGAACTTTGAACAATTTCAGAGTTGTTGTGGAAAGAGAACTGGAGACTGTTGATAAATTTAATTTCCAAGAAACCTATATTTTTTGAATTTTTTTTTAAAATTTCAATCACATTCCAATTTAAATATAACATTTTAAACAAAAACATAATATATAAATTTGTAGTTAATTTTAAGACTTAAGAAATGCATTTATAAAGATTTTAAGACTAACACCTAACATGGAATAGATTTTGTGCACTACTGCTCCCTACAGGTGAATCGTTATGTTAAACACACTAAGGTAACACGCTTGTTTCATTAATAATTTTTTACACTGCATATTGAAATCTTTTTTGGTAATATCTTTTCTAATAAAATAGCAGTGTAAAACTTTTTATTTACGGCGGACTTTTTATTTTGATCATAATATTAAATTTCAGTTATGTGTCTTTCTCAGTTGTACATTTTGCCCCCTTCAGTTCCCCAAAAACCTATAGTTTGGTAGGAAAGAGGCCCAAACCCAGAGTAATAAAGATATAAAAGGGTAAATAGAGATGTATAAATGGCAGATGAAAATATTTCAAGATGATAGTGGGAGCAGGGGCAGATCCAGCCAATCGGGGGGGGGGTCATAGATGTTTGTTAAATAATAAACATATTTGTGATTATATTACATAATATTTATGTACTGTAGATATGATACTATTCAATATTTTTGTTTAAATACTTACCTAATTTGAATGTAAATAAATATTTAAATTAATTTAACCAAATACAAGGAGGTAAATGAAAACTAGGCCTTTTTGGTGGGGGCTATGGCCCTCATGGTCCCCCTGGATCCGCCAGTGAATGCGACTGGGGAAGATATTTTAATTATTTGAATGCATTAATAGTAAATGACTTAATAATATGGCATTTTGCAAGTTTTTAAAAAAAAGAATAACTATGATGCAGTTTTCTTCCGAACACTGGTTCAAGAGATTCTTTCAATATATTGTATTAGTATTAAAAATTTGTTTCATATTGTTAGCAATTATAAAACTTACCTGGCTCTTAATTGAGGAGTATTCAATAAAATTCATTCCAAACCCAGATCATGATAATAATTATGTGTAAACACCTTGATTAATTTTAGTATTCAATGGAATCTCTCTTTACCAGGGTTCAAGTTGGAGATTTTGGTGATAATTTAAGTACCTTGTTCAAACAATGCATAGCATGTAGGCCAGAAAGAATGCTGGCTTCAGTATTGTGCATGGGATTGCCACAGCATGGTGATTGTGTGTTGATGGGAGGTTGAGTTGATTGTTTTGTGGCAGATATACTGCTTTATTTTTCCAATCTTCTAGAAAAAAAAAAAAAAAAGCAGTGAATGTGAATTTTATTTCATCATAAATTCATGTTTACCATTTTCTCAAAATAAATGTTATACAAAGAGGAGTTGACGCAGCAACCTCACAAAACCCCTAATTTGTAAATGACGTGAATTTTACAGTGGAATAGTAAAATGTAGTGTTTTTTTTCAATTTTGTACTTGATTTTGAAAAGTAAATATTTGTCTTGTTTACAAACTCCATAAGTTAATTAACTTGAAATTATTCTTATTTGTTAAGTTGTCAAAGTTTGAATTTGTTACCGACTTGGAGCTCTAAAACAAGAATCATTATTTTCATTTAAAAATTGATTGATATTTGCAATATACGAAAGGAATTTGAGGCTTAATGAGTTAATCAGTATTGTTATAGTTAATTTTAATTCATTTACATTGTGAATGAGTTTCTTCAGTAGAAATTATGAGAAATGATATGTGCAATATATCATTCTTAAGTCTGACAATGTTATGTAAATTTATTATTTTGATGAAGTTTCTAAAAAAATCTTGTTGAGATAGGTACAAATTATTGTTTAGTGGATCCTTTAATCTCATCATAGTTCATTTCATGATAAATGTATCAACAACACTTTCATTTGTTTTGAACCCCACAAGGCCTTTCATTTACTTCATCAATATAATCTAATTCACTAATGTAAATTTATATCTAAACATCTAGAATTAACTTATGAAGTTTTTCTTTAATTTTATGGTGCACATTTGAAGCAAAATTGATGTATCAAAATATTGCAAAGTTGTATTTTTTTCTTTTTTAATATTTGTTTTTGCCTTTCATGTAATGGAAATATGAATATATAAATAAAAAAAAAAATTAGCCCCCTTTTTTACTGCAAACATTATTGTGATTTGCTGTGCATTTTTATCCATATTTCTTAGTATCCATTACGGATTTTAATAAATAAATGTCCATGTCTAACTTTTTTTTTGTTGTTTTTGTTTGTTTTTTTTGCAGCTAAACCCTTCCGGCGTGTTGCTTCCTGCCCTGATGCTAAGCAGTTGGTGCACCAACCTGATCCTGTGAAAGAAGTGTGCGATATGAAAGTCAAAATTGCTGATTTGGGAAATGCCTGTTGGTCGGTAAGTTTATTAATGGTATTCTTACTATTGTTAACAGAGGGAGAGGTAATACAATTTGTAGTGTAAATTTTGTTTCTTCTTCAGCCATACTTTATCAAATGTACCCCAATTTGAATGATTTTTCCTTTGCCTTAAAAGGAATAATTTCCTAATGGTACCAGTGTAATTTTCTGATAGAGGGGTCTTAAGCTATTATAATAAATGAAATGGTTGAACACTTTAATGCAAACAAAACTATTGCCTAAACCAGACATGTGGAGGTTTCCAAAATGGATGTTCTTTCAATGATCTGTCTTAGCTTGATGTCCTGTGATTTGGAAGAATCTTTAGAGTTACTATACAATATAAAGCTCCTAGACCTTTTTTACTTACTTGCTACAGAGTAGAGAGAACGTTATGTAATGCTGCGCGAAAAAAGGCGCATTTTCGATGGAAAAGCTGCTATTATAGGGCCCTGTTAACGAAAAAGTGAATAAATTCTGTAACTAAATTTAGAGAGAAACAAAACTGAAAAGAAAAGAAAAAAACAAACTCTTACCATGCGGTATAACCAGATTTCGTATTTTGTGGGTCCTGGATACAGAAAAGTCGAATGACGGCCAAACGTGCTGTCTGCTCGGCTTTCCCCCTCCGGGTCTTACCCCGGCGTGAAGGGTCGCTCGAAAGTGATTACTTTGACGAGTCGGCCCGGTTGCCTAGGGGCCGACATCGAGAAAATCGGCCTTTTCGAACTCGAATAACTTTCAGGCGAATGCCGTCACGACGTTGCCCCGTCGCGGGCGAGCAGTCGGCGTGCTTGGGCTTCGACCCCCGGCTCGGCTTTCCCCCGTCTGTGAACAATGCTAGCGGTTAAGTCCTTCAGCCAATTTTCTCCAAAATTGATATTCCCAAATCGATCTGGGTTATGTTGCGGCCCCTTGAATTTGAAACTGATATTTTAATTTTGGGGGTACTTTACATAATGCCCTGGAACATTTTCAAAATTTAAAAAAAAAAAAAAAAAAAAAAAAAAAAAAAAA